CCTTCGATACCCCAGGACTGCTCACGGCGGACTTTGCGCTCTTCGAGGTTCGCGAACTGCCAGAGATGGTGCACAGTGTTCAGGTCCCCAATTTGAACAAACCATGCCCCAACGCCCTCCATCACCTCCCGGCGGGCCTTGAGGCCACGACGCCAGTGTGTTTCCCACTCCAGAAGATTTCCGGGATGAAGAGTGTATGATCGGAGCTCAAAGAGGCCGCCCAGGCGCCGTGGAGGCGTCGTGGGCCAGAAAGAGAATTCCTGCATCAGCGACGTCTTCTTGCTCTTGATCAAGCCCTTCAACTGCCGGTCAAATTCGGGGAATTCGGGGTGACAGGAGATGTTGTGGAGGGAAGCATGGTAACCTTCATACCGCTGATATTCCCAGATGTGAACTGCAAGAGCCGTTAGCATCCATAGTAACACAGGCATTCTCAGCGCAACTGGAAAGACTGGATGGGCGCGTCAAGTCAATTACCAAAAGTGTCATTATCTCCAACCTGCGTGCGCCAGCTGCCAACCAGGTTCACCCGGTTTTCAGGGTCGGCAGCCATGCGAGGGTACCACTGGCCGACGAGGTTCACATAGTCGTCAACTTTATCGGGCTTCACGTCGTGAAAGACGATGGAATGTACGTATTTTCCACGAGCGAGAACCTGCGAGAATGACCGTTCGATATCTTTGTCCAGCTGCTGGCCTTCCTTCGTTCCGTAGATGAGCGACGACAGGGGGCCGCGCTTCGGAGACTGACTGGCTTCCTGCAGCTGCTCGTCTCCTATAATACGGTGGGTAGAAAGTGAGCCCAAAGCCTTATTATCAAGAACTTCAGCGGCATCAAAAACGGGATGTTTGTTACTGCTCGCATTGCTCTCACCTGGAGCAGTGGGAGCGGTAGCGTACTCACGAAGGCGGTCACGGGATGCAGGGGATGGGGCAGAGGTAGAACCAGAAGCATCGACAGACTGACTCTCTTGCTGTTCTCTCTTCTTGCGAGCAACCTCTAGGTTCTCGCGAAACTCCTTCTGACGTGCGTTGAACTCAGCAGCCGAGTCGGGGGTGATGTCACGGATAGAGGGGGCGCGGGAGGCAGTGGCAGTGGAACTGAAGGGGCGAACCAGCGAAGACGCCGGCCGCAACAAGCGTGGGTTGAGCATGATTCCGTAGGAAGCTGATAGCTATACAGAAACGGATGCTGAAGCAAGGGATACAGTGGGGAGATTCTTCACAAAATAGAGGCAGGACAGAGTAGTCGGGCAAGGAACGAGGGGGACAGGTAAAATGAAGGATGGATGGACGTGTGTCGGGTTGACAGCAAATACAAAAGAGGAGCCCAACGACAGCGATTAGACTGCGAAAGGCGACACAAGAGAAGAGGGGTTTTACCGACAGGAGAGGGGAAGTAGATGAGTAGATGTAGAAAGAGTAACTGAGACAGCAGGTAAGGGCAGGGATGGGAGAGGTAGGTAGACACGCGATGCGTTACAACGACCTGACCGACGGCTGAAGGGAAGGCGCACTGCAGCAGGAGTCCACGGAACCAGTCAGGTCGCAAGCTTTAGAGTCCAGGATCAGCAAAGAGGAAGGTCGAATTGTCGGGCGGAGAAGTAATAATCCCCAATGACGGTTGTCGGTTATAAGCCACGGGTATGTAGGATATTAGGTGACAATCGAATAGAGCCAATGGAGGGAGAGTGTGGAGAGTGAATGGGGGAGGGAAGAGGAGAGGAAAAGAGAGAGAGAGAGAAAGAGGAAGGAAAGGTAGTTGAGTGGTTACGGTACTTCCGGACGGCACAAGTGGGAAACTGGGGAAAAAGGCGTCACTTGCTCATTAAACTGGAAAAGTGCGGGGAAACAAGCCTGTGAAGAGACAAGACCTGTCTTGTCTGTTCTGCTAAATAACGTAACTGGGCTGTGCTTTCTCTCTCGTTCTCGGCTACTGCCAATGTAACTTGAGCTGGGGCCTGCCTTATATAAGGGCTGATCACCAATCCCAGCCCTAGTGTACTAATCCCATTATGCTGATACAGCTCTTGTTTTCTTCTGCGGATGATGTGTAGTCCCCGAGATAGACATTCCTCATGATTTGTCCATTCCATTTGTCTAGGCCGATCTTCGTTGCCTGGCCCTGCATCTCCGAGACCATGACGAAAGCGGTCTTGCTTCCTTTCCTCCGCGTTCACGGCTACGGACATGATAACGGGAAATGAGGTTATCTTCATTAAGATCTTCAACCCGATTGGTAACGGCTCATCAATTGCCTCTAACTCACCGGGGTTTTCGGTAAGTGAAGAGCTGATGATACTGGCAGCATCCATCACCGCCTCAAGTGTAGCTCCCAGCACCGATGACGTCGTGACCGGAGCTGTCTCTTATGTAATCAGAAGCGAGCCGCGCAGTGATCCGGGCCCGGATGGCTAGTACTAAACGAGACTAGTCCGGTAGACCCAATGCGGTAGCTCATCTGGTTGCCGGTCACACCCCTCCAGCTGAGCTGGCCCGCCACTGCCACTGCCACTGCCACTCACTGTGTACTGTCCTACCTGAGAGCTCGTTGACTCGACAGAGTCCAAGCGCACTTGCTACACTTGACATCCAGCACCTCTTAACCTACCTAGTCTCTGAATATATTTTCTCCGTGTCCTACACTATGGCGGATTCTATAAACCCTCCCCTCTCGTACGAGGCCTCAGCCACAACTACTCATCCGCATGTCGGGACTACCCTCCCAACGGAGGTGATTTCATGTCTGAAGAATTCTCGATTCGTGAGTACTGCAATTTCTATACCTTTATACCGTCATTGTGATCGGAAACTGATATTGTACGCTGCCAGCTTCACCTTGCAACATGTGATGGCTTGACCCCGCACATCTCGCTCATGTCCTACACCTACCTCCCCTCGACTCCCTATGACCCGTATCCGACAATTATCATGACCACCAACCCTTCCTCTCGCAAAACCAACCATCTGCTCACCAACCCTCGCGTGTCCCTTCTGGTCCATGACTGGGTTTCGCACCGTCCGCCAACCCGGGCTCCCAACCCCGATGGTCGCGAAGGGTCTCCCCCGCCTGCAGCCACACGGTCCTCTTTGGCGAGCCTGTTGTTGAACCTGAACACGAGCGCCCTTTCCAGTATCTCCACAACTATCGCTGGTACCGCGCGCTTCTTGGAACCTGGCTCTGAAGAGGAGGCATGGTGCAAGAAGCAGCATCTGGAGAACAACACCTTCGAGGAAGAGCTGGGCACTTTCGGACAACAGTTGCAGCAGCAACCCGGTCAAAGACGGCCCAGTATCTCAATTGACAGCGATGTCCGCGTCGTGACTGTTCAGGTGCGCGAGGGCCGCATTGCAGACTGGAAGGGTGGCGTGAGGGATTGGCAGTTGGTAGCGGAGGGTGAGGGCACGCAGGGAACGATGGTCAATGGCGTTGCGCCCGAGTAATGCGTTTTGAAATCTATACTATTTTGTATATCAAACTTTATGAGTGAAAGAACGAACCTGGGAAATTGCAAGTAAGCAAGCAGATATGCGAGTGTTGCAGACTGCCTAGGTCCAGTCAGTCATCGGAAGGTTCGGCGCACTCGGTTCCTGAAGATCTCTGCAGACACGATCTCGCAATCATGCTCCTGGACCAAAATGGAAGTATCCACTGCAGTACATAGAAAACTTGAATGCTACAAGCAAACTCAAACTCAAATTAAGCTCCAGGTGTGGGAAAGAAAGCACGAAATCGAGATCGGAATTGCGTTCCTCATCACATGACATTACAATCCGGGGGAGTGACGTCCAATCTTATCAAAGCGCAAGCTCAATAAATTCACACCAACTAGTACTACCTATTCAATAACTTCACCCAATCCCACACCCCATACCCTCTCTAAATTCTCTATCTCAAATGCAAACACACCACCGATCCTAACAACCCACCAATATCAATCCCAATCCCAATCCCACCTCCACCACCACCCAAAACGGAACCCAACCAACCAAGCAACAAACCAGCACCAAAAATGCGCCTCGCCCACCTTCACCTCCCCAACATAACCCCCTTCAGCCGGGTCGCCAACATCCAACAAACACTGACAAGCCGACTCCTCTCACACAAAAAGCACCTCACCCCGAACCCCCCAGACCCCACCATAATAACCTTCAGCCCGAATCCCGTATACACGACCGGCCGGCGCGACCTCCCACCCTCCAACACCCTCAACAATGCCAATGCCAACACACTGTCCCTCCCACCCAGCCTCGAACCAATCCGCCAGATCCTGACCTCCCCACAACCCAACACCGCTTATGACCCTACCTCCGGTGTAGCGGAATACCACCCCACCCTGCGCGGCGGACAAACGACCTACCACGGCCCCGGCCAGTTGGTCGCATACACGATTCTGGATCTACGACGGCTGGGACTCACGCCGCGGTGTCATATACGGTTGTTGGAGAATAGTGTGATTGATGTGTTGAGGGAGTATGGGGTGAGGGGGATGGTGACGGAGGATCCGGGGGTTTGGGTGCATGGACGGAAACAACATGGAGGGTCTGAGGGGGGGAAAGGTGAGCTACCGAAGAAGATTACGGCGGTGGGGGTGCATCTTCGGAGACATATTAGTAGTTATGGGATTGGGTTGAATGTGACGGAGGAGCCGATGTGGTGGTTTCGGCAGATTGTGGCGTGTGGGTTGGAGGGGAGGGAGACGACGAGTTTGCAGGGGCTTGGGGTGGAGGGGGTGACGGTTGAGGAGGTGGCTGGGAGGTTTGTGGGGAAGTTTGTTGGGAGGGTGAATGGGGATTTTGCTTGTGGGGAGGGGGCGACGGGGGAGGGTATTGACGAGGTGTATAGGGTGAGTGAGGACGATTTGTTGAAAGAGGAATTGGAGTAAGTGTGGTTATAGACTTTGCATGCTTGGGGGGAGGGTGCAGTTGAGAAGGAGTTGGAAGGAGATTATTGAGTACGCGAGATACGGCGTGTTCATTATCAATGGTACATTTGCATAGTCTATACCAATGGTCGATGCGGTGATCGACCAGAGCGAATGATGGAATATAGATAAGCAGCCATGGGTGAGTCCCGACTGGCGCGCTTTTCTGGAAGGTATCCCCAGAGCAAACATTAGGTATACAGGATTACAACAAGGGGTCCAACAAGTATATATAGAGAAGAGAACAGAGCAAGGCATGACAGGCTGAAAACGCCCAGGATATGATAGCTCGATGCCAGTGATGGGAAAACCAGGGCATTCCCCCGGTTGGAACGGTCACAGCAAATGATCCAGCTCAATGGCTGAAGAGCAAGCAGGTAGAAGGGTATAAGAACAGAGCAATGCAATAGTCGACAAGTCATGAAGGATGGCCAGCGGCATGTCTAGAGAATGACACACCGTTCGCCAGATCCGTTAGAGCCCTGAGTTCTGACTTCCAGGGCGACCTTTGCAGCTTCGTAGAATGTTTCCATGATACCACGATTCTGCACGGCGGAGCACTCTGTCAAGAAGTTAGGAACCATCACGCGAATGACATCACGGCGTGGGAGTCGCCCTTACCCAGGTATTTCACAGCACCAATTTCCTTGGCTTTCGCCAGTCCTTCTTCGTAGGTGATCGCGTTCGGGTTGTCGTTGAGGAACTCATCCTTTCTCAGATCACACTTGAGGGCAGTAAGCACCAATTTGACGCCGGCGCAGTTCTCCGAGATCTCTTCAATCCATTTGCTCGCCACGTTCTCGAACGAATCGCGACTGTCAACCTAGTAGGAGTCAACCTCTTGTCCATTCCTCGAGGAGCGGGAATCCTCACGCTGAAACAAAGCATAATCACGTGTGTGTCCTCGTATGATAGCGCGCGCAGTCGGTCAAATTCTTCCTGGCCGGCCGTATCCCATAGCGACAATTCCATGTGTACATTGTCCACGAAGATATCTTAGATGAATGTGAGCATGCGAGCCCGGTTTATGTAGGGAGGAGGAAGTACCATGCACGTAGTTTTCTGGAAAGCACAACGGTCAGTAATATGATCATCATAAGCCAAGGAAGAACATGCGCACCGAATACAGTAGGCTCACTATGTAAGTGGGAAAGATTAATATCGCAACAGGAAATCAGCGTTCAGAAAGGTCATCCTCACTAGACCGTAGGAAAGTATCTACCAGAAAGTTAGCGGTCTCGACCACAAGAGAAAAATACAAGGGGTGCCCACCCTCTGGTGAAGACATTCAGGGCCGAGGTCTTGCCGCAAGCGCCGTCCCCTCTTATCTGGAATCAGCAATCTGCCCATCAAATGTAACTGCCAAGGCTTGGTGAAACTGACAATAGCACCATCTTACGTCGAACAACCTTTTGGCGACCACAGAGACTCATTGTAACGGTAGTTGGGAGTGGTGGTTGTGTCGAGATGCGCGGAAAGAAGGGTCCAAGTAGATAAGGGAGGGAAGGGGCTAGATGGGGAGGGGATCAACCGAAGAGCAGAATGGCGAACAGAATGAGGGGATAGTGAAGAGGAATAAAGTGTGCGGAGTAAGGGCTAGTAGGTACGAATAGCGTTTCACGAGGCACTGATCTGGCTAGAAGAAAAAAAAAGTGGTTGCGAACACGAAGATAAGTCGTGGGCCGCCGTGCAGCGAGGCCGGTCGATGTCATCGGCTCCGTCCTGCAACGGGCGATCCGCAAATGAGAGACGATCGTCATCTGCCAAGTGCCTGAGCCGCTCTGGAAGTCGGGAAGCGCTGAGTTCGCTTCGCCACGCCTCGCAAAAATTCACCCGCAAAGATGGCTAGTTCTGACGGTGGGTAGAGGGTGCCCTCCACAGTAAAGTGGCAGTGTCTGTTGAAACCATGGAGGGTGTTGCTTATACTAGCCAAGTCAGTTAGTAGTATGAGTGAGCGTACCCTTCCTGCTTTAAGGCGGTGCGGTTAGTTGTAGATGTCGGGTTCAATTTAGCACGCAGATTCAGGCTGTGACAGGCGCCAATCGCTCAGATTGACTTTATATTTAGAATCATTGCATGCAAGTCTAGCTTGAATCGGTCTGACTAAATGTGTCAGAGTCCATTTTTCTGTCACTGAGCCACTAATAGGCAGTAATATTAGTAGTTAAGATAGTCTGGGTGATCTTGTCATTGAACGTGAATGAACTTTTAGTATATATAGTACAGTAAGCATAGTACTACCAGTAAGCCCGCTGTCTGACGGCAATCCTTCATGCGGAGTCTGAGCCATTGGACTGTTTAGTGTAAGATAACTCAAATAGATGCCTAGGCCATATGTATCAGCCATCAATTACTGACAGACAATTCCCGGGAGTAAACAAGCCTCAAGTCCAGTGTAGGTTGTTGCTATAGTAGAATAGTAGAATGTAGTCTCGGTCGGGCCCGGCGAGGAAGCTACAAAGGCGGGGAACCTCGAACTTTGGCCCCAGGCTCCGATAGGCGCGGAAGCTCTCCATTCCTCACTCACCTTCATCTCCTTCCATCTCTTATCTCCATCGGTCTTCTAGCACGCAGTCGATCCTCTTTTGCCTCTCAGTTTTTGAATCTTTTAGATACCCCAGAACGCAGCGAGGATTAATCCGTTCATAATGTCTGACGATGATGATTTCATGCAAGATTCGGGTGACGAGGAGTAAGCCTATGTTGTCCCTTCAGCCCGCCGATGGCCGCGGCCGCTAACCAGCTGGACTGTCGCAGTTACGACTTCGAGTACGAGGATGCAGACGATGACGAATCGGGAGACGTCGGTATCGAGAACAAATACTATAATGCCAAACAGATGAAGATAGACAACCCGGAGGAGGCCATCGATGAATTTCTGGGTGTTCCGGATCTAGAACAAGACAAGGGCGACTGGTAAGAGGCCGTGTTCGTCAGTGATGGTTCAGGTAAGGTGCTGACGGTAGTCCAGGGGGTTCAAAGGACTGAAGCAGGCTATCAAGTTGGAATTCAAACTTGGGAGATATAGCGATGTAAGGCGTCACTGCGCTCTTGGCTCACGATGATAAGATACTGATTTTCCAGGCCGTTGAACACTACAGAGAGCTCCTCACTTACGTCAAGTCGGCCGTCACTCGTAATTACTCCGAAAAGTCCATCAACAACATGCTAGATTATATCGAGAAGGGATCGGACGATGACACAGCTTACCAGTGCATGGAGGAATTCTATTCTCTGACTTTGCGCTCATTCCAAAATACCAACAACGAGCGACTATGGTTGAAGACAAACATCAAGTTGGCGCGTCTTTGGCTGGAACGGAAAGAGTACGGTCAGCTAAGCAAGAAGGTGCGGGAGCTGCACCGGGCATGCCAGCGGGAAGATGGAACCGACGATCCCAGCAAAGGAACATATCTCCTCGAACTATACGCCCTAGAGATACAGATGTATGCCGAGACGAAGAACAACAAGCGACTAAAAGCGCTCTACCAGCGTGCCCTTCGAGTCCGGTCGGCGGTGCCGCACCCCAAGATCATGGGTATCATCCGAGAATGCGGAGGAAAGATGCACATGAGTGAGGAGAATTGGGAGGAAGCGCAGAGCGACTTCTTCGAGTCATTCCGAAACTACGATGAGGCGGGCTCAATACAGCGAATCCAGGTGCTCAAGTATCTCGTGTTGACCACGATGTTGATGAAATCGGATATCAACCCATTTTATTCCCAAGAGACCAAGCCGTACAAGAACGACCCCCGCATATCCGCTATGACCGATCTAGTCGATGCATTCCAACGCGACGACATCCACGCATACGAAGCTATCCTTAGCAAAAACCCGGACGTCCTGGCCGATCCCTTCATCGCCGAGAATATCGACGAGGTCAGCCGAAACATGCGGACGAAGGCTGTTCTCAAATTGATCGCACCGTACACACGATTTACCCTCAAGTTCATCTCGAAGCACATCCGGGTCTCGGTACCCGAGGTACAAGACATCCTGAGCTTCCTGATCCTGGACAAGAAGCTCAATGCCAAGATCGACCAGGAAAACGGGATAGTGGAGGTTGAAAGCGCTAGCGACGTGGACCGGCTGCGGGCACTCCAGGAGTGGAACGCATCATTGCGGTCTCTCTGGCAAGCGACGTTGAACGACGGGGATGGATTCAGGGAAGATCCTTCACAGCTGCACGGTATGAGAGGAGGAGGGCCCATGTTTCAACCCGGGTTTGGAGATGAACCGCCTGCAGGATTACGCGCTGGTGGTCGCCGACTGCGGGGTGGACACCGAGGCAGAGGCGGCGGCGGAGGGTCTGGAACGAAGCTGGGCCTGGGAGGCGTCTAGGGAGGGCAATGCATTGTCCCATCCATTCATCCAACTAAACCATTTCTGCGTCATAGCCCATACACTTTAGAGAAACACACACACACAGGGTTACGAAGTAAGGATAAGGAATGAAATCATGACACAACATTGCTCCATCAATCAATCAATCATCACACCCTACAGACCAAACCAAAACAATGATATCATAGAAATACCAATGCGCACGGCATCTAGATAGCCCATCCGTAAGCCACCAAGACACTAAAATCACCAAAAGGGCCGGGGGGTGGGCAGCGGACCATGGAACATGGAACTCTTTCCCATTCCTCCAACTAAACTACAGCAAGTAAGTAGGAAGTCAAAGCCCCTAAGCCACACAATTCCCTTTTCGTTCCCCAGGCACATCCACAACAGTAAGAGGTACTTTTGTTAATCACACTCTCTGACACTCACACACACAGACTGATACACAGATAATATGATAATCCATGCTATCCCAGATCCCAGCAGATATCAGTTCAAGTAAAGTAAGTAACACCCGGGAAAAAAAGAAACAGTCTGACCAGATCACACACACATTAAGTAATACCACATCCACATCCTAGACAATAATAAATCAAGTTAAAACCCCTGTTATCCCGAGGCCGCCACAACCCACCCCTCTCCTCCTGAATCGGTTGTCGTGACAGGTCATGTTCAGGTTCAGGTTCACATATCCCGGTTCGGGTTTTGGTTGGTTTCTTTGCAACCATGTGGGATGGAAAGTACCCTACTACTATAGTTAGGAATTAGTTAGCTAGGGTGTAGTAATCTATCAGGCTGAATAACTTACTTGCTTACTTGCTGGCTTGCTTGCTGGCTATCGATGGGTCTAGACTATTTACTGATGGTACTAATTATTCTAAGGGACGTAGTAGTATACTTTGTATCCCGTCAATTCACTATGTACTTGTCCTTGTACCTCTAATGCACTCCCGACAAGCGTCCTATTCGTCCGGGGAATGGTTGACTGCATCATACGCATCATATGTACCTACCTACTACTTATGTACTCCGTAGTATCTATTGTATGCATGTTTGACGCCCCTCCCTTTGATGGAAAGTACTGTACAGGGTCTTGATACGTATGGGGGGTGAGGCGAGGCGAGGCGTTCTGGGTGTATCCTGGTATTGGGGTAGACTAGACTAGACACTTACTTGGTTGATTGATTGATTGATTGATTGTCTAAACTTTATTTTGGGACTTATTTTGGGTTGTTATACCGGGGAGTGTGCATGGGTGGTGTGATGGTTGTTTGCTGGTAAGTGCTGGGGTGGACTTTTGTGTATGTATGTATGTTGTGGAAGGAGGAAAGGAAGAAAGGTAGTGGATGGATTGGTTGGGATTACAATGGGGAGGGAGAGAAAGGTTTGAGGGTACACAGATGTGCGACGTGCTTAGTTTGATTTGTAGGTGTGTGGATGGTTTGACATGGACAAAAGAAAGAGATAAAAAAAAGGTCATTGTTGATTCTAGACAGTGATTATCGGGTGCTTACAGATGGCAGGAAGGACACTAAAGCAGAAGCACAGATTGAATTGCGTAGGCGCTATGCCCTAAGCTGGTGTGTAAGTAGGCAGTAGGCATGGTGACAGCTGCAAGCAAAGTGCATCACGAAGTAAATACTCCGTCGGTAGACAAGTAGCCATCCCAATGTCAATGTCTCAAAGACGAAACAAACTCGGCCGAAGAAATCCGCTATCTTGTGTGGAAAGTAACTATGTATGCACTGCATGGTGCAGACAAAAAGCAATCAATTACTTGCCTACTGTTCTGCCTTCCTACCAGGTTATACTCTCCATCGTGCAGCTGACAGGCAGTTTAGGAAAGTTGGCAATCTGCAAGCCCCAACTGTATGTACCCTGTTCAGTAGGTAGGTAGGTAGGAAGAGAGGTACTTTTGAACATTGAACATCCTTCGGGGCGCAAATGTTGGGTACTCGAAAGTATTAGGTACCTAAGAGATGCAGCAGAAAGTGAGGCAGAGGTAGGTACCTAACTCAAGGTGAAACTGGGGAGTGAGAGGGGGGGGGGGGGGGGTAAAGGGTATAGGTACCCAATCGAGATCTCTCGGGGTAAATACGGAGTACTACTAACACAACACAGCATAGGATTGTCATCCAGGTAGAAAAGATACTTACTTAGTATCTTGTAGGTATAGTGGAAGTGCGTGATGAACCAGGGTCTAGATTGGAGTATGCGGGATTAAAAAGTGGGAACAATAGGGTCTAAGAACTTGATTGTTGAAGTTGCACAAGGGGAAACTGGAGCTTTCTTTTTCTTGTTTACTTATCGATCGGGACGGAAGGGGATGGGGATTGACGCGGGGAGAGGATTGAATGCCGATCAGGACGGTAGTTGACTAGTAACTACTGTAGTAACTAGTAAGTAGCTGTCGTAGTACGTAGTTGGGTCGGTGTGTGAGATGGTGAGTTGTGGATGT